ACGGGGTTTCACCATGTTGACCAGGATGGTCTCGATCTCTTGACCTCGTGATTCACCCGCCTCGGCCTCCCAAAGTGCTAGGATTACAGGCGTGAACCACCGCGCCCAGGCCCTAGTCCCTTTTTATTAAAAAAAAAAAAAAAAAAAAAAAAAAAGGAAGGGTCGGGCGCGGTGGCTCACGCCTATAATCCCAGCACTTTGGGAGGCCGAGGCCGAGGCCGGGGCGGGGGAGTGGGGGGGACCACCAGGTCAAGAGATCGAGACCATCCTGGTCAACATGGTGAAACCCCGTCTCTATTAAAAATACAAAAATTAGCTGGGCATGGTGGCGTGTGCCTGTGATCCCAGCTACTCAGGAGGCTGAGGCAGGAGAATTGCCTGAACCCAGGAGGCGGAGGTTGCGGTGAGCCGAGATCGCACCATTGCACTCCAGCCTGGGTAAGGAGAGCGAAACTCCGTCTCAAAACATAAAAATGGAAGAAGAGAAACACTATAAATGCCTTGCGGATCAGAAGTCTTTTGTCCTATTATTCACTGAACAATACCAGCTTCTCAGAGTACCTGATACATAGCACGTGCTTAGCAAATATCTGCTTAATTGAACTTACTGCATTTCTAGATGCTATAAGCTTGAGACTAGCAGAAAGTGATGCAGAATTCAGAATGGGTGGTATGGCAAATGCTTTATTAAAGAATATGCATGGCTGAGCGTGGTGGCTTATGCCTGTAATCCCAGTGCTTTGGGAGGCCGAGGTGGGCGGATCACCTGAGGTCGGGAGTTCGAGACCAGCCTGGCCAAAACGGAGAAACCCCGTCTATAGTAAAAATACAAAATTAGTTGGGTGTGGTGCCACATCCTGTAATCTCAGCTACTCGGGAGGCTGAGGCAGGAGAATCCCTTGAACCCAGAAGGCGGAGGCTGCGGTGAGCCAAGATCATGCCATTGCACTCCAGCCTGGGCAACAAGAGCAAAACTCCATCTCACAAAAAAAAAAAAAAAAAGAATATGTATGTATTCCATAAGCAGTTGAACCTCTTCTTCCTGCTGCCCTGATAGTTGATCTGGCTCTGAGAAATTCAGGTTTTCTTCCCTCCTGGTGAGATTATGCTAATCAGGGAACATTGGCCAAATTCTTTCCATGATTTTCTTCTCTCAGGCTGTCTTTCCCTTCCCTTTTGTAGACGTAGCCTGTAGTAAAAAAAGAAAGATAAATTCATAGGATCAAGAATTCTTACTGTTTACACTCTTTCTAACAACGTTAAATCTCTGATAGTAGCACCCACTAGACTTTGCTTTTTTATATGGATAGATTTATTCCCATCTCTCTGTAGCTTGTTTTAATTCCAAGCAGATCCGAGAGCAAAAAAGAGTGTATCTGCCCTCCCTCCAGGCTTTTCTGGTCCCATTTTGTCTGTGAAACTAAGAGGCTGTAGCTGCTATTAGAAGAGGGAAGGAGTAAGGATGAGCTTTTGAAAAAAAAAAAAAAAACCCGGGTGGAGAGAGTGGCAGGATGTGGGTTTGGGAGGGCGGGGGAGGGAGGGCGTTATTGTCTGCGGGCGGGGGCGGGGGTGGTTCTGAAGTTCTGATAACACAGGATTCCGAGAGGTCACAAGATTGTTTGGAGGGGGGGCAGGCAGGGGTGGGGTTGGGGGCTCGTCGCCCTTTCAGGCTCCACCCTTTGCGGAGATTATAAATAAGCAGGATCCCAGCCAGACCGAGAGATGCTGTAATGGTGAGAGTTTAGAGCGTCCCTGAGGACCTGGAGAGGACTTGCTGCTGAGAAGGACGTTTTGAAGGTTTCGTTGGCTGAAAAAGGTGTCTGTGGAATCACACTCCTAGATCTTTCTTGAAGACTTGAAAAGAATTAGATCAGGGCCATGGGGACACAGAAGGTAAGAATGATATGATTACTGGTTATTTTTGCTTATTTGGGGTACACTCAGAAAGGCAAATCTCAGTGGTAACTGCCGTGCTCTGTTTTCTCCTAAGTCACCAAGCCATCTTAAGGCCTTTTCGTTTCTCCTCTAGCCTGCGCTGCTACAGCTCAATCCGTTTTTCTTTGAATGTCATACAGTTCTGTTCACCTTCCTGTCACAGGAAAGTCACCCGGAGAAGTGTGTTTGCTTCTCAGGTTTATTTTATGTAACTATATGCTACTGAGAACAAGATGGTTGAGCGTTTAGAGGATCGCGCTGCTTGGTTGTATGGATTACAAGTGTGGGTCTCAGAGCCAGTGTGAAGACTTCTGGAAGCATTAGACCTTGAAAGGGTCTGTGTTTGGGGGCGCGGGCCAGTGTCCCACCATCTGTTTGTCCCATAACCTGTGGGGTTCCCTGGATACTAAGGAGAAACAATTCCAGTTGTCCTTTTGGGGTTAAAATTGTGAGTGCAGGACCTATGAATGTATTATTGAGTGTTGTTTATGCAATATTTGAAGGGAGAAAAGCATTTTTACCAAGATAAATTTAACTAAAAATAAGGGGCCGCGTGGTGGGCCATGCCTATAATCCCAGCATTGGGGAAACCAAGGCAGGAAGATTACGTGAGGTCGTGAGTTTGAGACCAGTTTTGGGCAGTAACAGTGAGATCCCATCTCTACAAAGCAGAAAGAAAATGAAGGAAAATAAGAGGGATGGAAAATTACAGGACTAAAGAAGAAAAGACTCTCAAAGATAGTGCATGATGAGAGGAGAGACGAGATTTTCACTAAAAGGCAGAAGATTTAACAGAGAGCATTGTACCGGCAGTGCCCTCCAGGGTACCCATGCTTAGTTGTGACTGAGATATCTGGGAGGCTGCAGACAAGGTCAGTTCGCCTAGTGAAGCTGCCAGCCCAATACCTACTCCATCTGACCTGAAAGGAAAGGAGTTTAAGATAAGAAAAGGTGAAGGGATCGAGTGGTTGGGTGGGGAAGGGCATAGGAGATGGCCTCAAGTATCAACATTGAGCTGCCTGCCCCAAGGTGGAAATCTAAAATAATATCCACTTGCCCAGCTGAATTATTCCAGGCAAGGTGAAGATGACTGCCCCCCACCCCACTAAGAAATGTCTCTTGTATGTTGGGATTGTAGTGAGCTGAGTGTTCTTTCTTCCCCCGCCCGGGGGTTAGGGATAGCGGAACAGTATTTAATAAACGGAAGACTCAAATGGGGCCAGGATGCAGTGGGTAGATCCAGCAGGTGACATGGTCCTGAGAGAGAAGAGACTCAAAGAGCAGCCCAGCAGTGAAGACACAAACTACCACCCCCACCACTACTCGGGCTTCCGTGGAGTCTGGGGTACAGATCAGACTACGCTGTGTTTGTTTCCAGATTAACCAGTTCTTAGCCATCCTGCCCAAGCCTGTGCCTTCCTCTGCCCTCCCAGCTCTTGGTGGAATTCTATGCCTACCTTTGCCTGGTGCAGGTTTTTAAATGTTTCCAAACTGACTAACCCAGTTTCTCTTAACTTCTTCCTTCCCCATTTCTCTTGCCACTTCTACCAAGTTAACGTCACATTCAAACCTCCAGGTGTTTCCTATACTCTGCCCTTTGTCTTGCCCATTAATTACCTGGATCTCACTTGACTTTTGTCCTTTTCACACCACTCATAGGTCACATTGTCCTAATAGAGCTCCATGGTTAATAAGAAACAGTCATCAATCACAAGCTATGAGGACTACTCTCTCTTCCCTGTCCTCTCTCCCTCCAGGTCACCCCAGCTCTGATCGTTGCCATCACAGTTGCTACAATCGGCTCATTTCAATTTGGCTACAACACTGGGGTCATCAACGCTCCTGAGATGGTGAGTGCCAGGCCACAAGAATTAGAACCCAGAATAGGGACATTATTCCTTTATAAGTAGAGTTTCAACAATTCAGAATTTAGGGTCAGGTGCGGTGGTACCCACCTGGGATCCTAGCTACTCCAGAGACTGAGTCCTAAAGATCGCTTGAGCCCAGGAGTTAAACACCATCCTGGGCAACACAGTTAGTGAGTGTCCCTCCCTCCACTAGGGGAATTTGAGACAAACTTTGTATCTATCCTGGCCAAGGCTGAAGATGGAGACAATATTGGTGGGAAATCTAGTGCGGTCATTTAATCAAAGCTCATTTAATCAAAGCAGAACGCTCACTTACTCCCTGTACCCTGGGAGGGGCTGTTCTTCCTCCCACTTTCTCACCCCATAGTGACACACTTCCTATATCAGCCCTTAGGGGTTTGTTACAAAGCAGCTGGGTCCGCTTATGAGTGGGCTGGGGTGAACATCAGTGCTGCCACCTACTGGGATTTTCAGGATAAATAAAAAAATTACTATTCCAGAGAGTTAACAGTTAATAACTCCAATGTGTTATCTGTGTCTTCCACTCCCATATATTTATTCCCTTGATTCTCTAGGAAGGAAATGGCCCCTAATATTTGTGGTTTTTGTTCTCATCCAACTTCAACAGTCTGCCCTCCCACCAACCCTTTCATTTTGCAGATCATAAAGGAATTTGTCAATAACACTTTGAAGAACAAGAAAAATGCCCCTCCTTCTGAGATGTTGCTCACGTCCCTCTGGTCCTTGTCCGTGGCCATATTCTCCGTGGGTGGTATGATCGGCTCCTTCTCCGTCGGACTCTTTGTCAATCGCTTTGGCAGGTATTGACTAGAAACTGGGCAAGGAAGCGGGCTCTACCAGCCGCACTGAGGACAAGCATAGAGACTTAGGGCAAGGAGGTGATGATGCCTTTGAACCTGAACACCTTGAATTCTAATCAAGGGAAACCTAGTCCAACGGGCCCCGAATACAACTGCCCTTGCTTGGAACTCTGCTACCCTCCATAGCTCCCACCTAGCTGTGCAGGAGATGAGCTGTGTGAGTGACTGGCTTTTGCAGCCCAGCTAGGGCTAGTTCAGAATTATTCTCTAGCAAGCTCAACTATGGGGTTTCCAGAAACAATTCTCAAGGCCCAAACTTGTTTACTTTTATTTAAAAAATTGAGGTTTCATATACTTGTGTTTATTATTTTACACAGGATTGGTAGGAATTATTCTTATAATTCTTACTCTATGGCATATGTGGATAATGGCCAAAAAACTGAATCTTCTTATTCTATACTAGACTGATGAAAGACAGCCGGGCACGGTGGCTCACACCTGTAATCCCAGCACTTTGGGAGGCTGAGGCGGGTGGATCACCTGAGGTTAGGAGTTCAAAACCAGCCTGACCAATATGGTGAAACCCCGTCTTAAAAAAAAAAAAAAAAAAAAAGCGATGAAGGAACTGTTTTAATTTGCCAAGTAGGAGCTCAGTGGTTTATGCCTGTAATTCTAGCACTTTGGGAGGCTGAGGCAGGTGGATCACCTGAGATCAGGAGTTTGAGACCAGCCTGGCCAACATGGCAAAACCCTGGATGTGATGGTGTGGGCCTATGATCCCAGCTACTCAGGAGGCTGAGGCAAGAGAATCTCTTGAACCTGGGGAGGGCAGGAGGTGGTGGAGGTTGCAGTGAGCCGAGATATGGCCTCTGCACTCTAGCCTGGGGGAGAGAGTGAAACTCCATCACAAAGAGAAAAATTGCCAATTAGATATTCTAGAAATGCAAATGGAATTGATATTTAAAAATGGATAAAGAGAAAAAACAAAACAAAAAATGGATAAAGCAGCCTATTTTACTTGATTATGTTGCTCTTCCCCCCCACCACAAGAAAGAGGGTCTTGCTCTGTCACCCAGGCTGGTGTGCAATGGCCCAATCACAGCTCACTGCAGCCTCGGCCTCCCACCTCCGCTCCCTGAGCATCTGGGACTACATACAGGCCGGCACCATCATGCCGGGCTCCCACCTAGAAATGTTCTGATAATGGAAAGTGAAAAGGAAAAGTTAGGCCAAAAAAAAAAAGACGATATGAGCCTGGAGAAGAGCAGAATAGTGAGGACAAGGGAGGAGAGGACAAGGGAGCCTCTCACTTTGCTAAGCCCGCTTTGTCTTTTGCTAACCTTACAGGCGCAATTCAATGCTGATCGTCAACCTGCTGGCTGTCACCGGCGGCTGCCTTATGGGCCTGTGTAAAGTAGCCGAGTCGGTGGAAATGCTGATCCTGGGCCGCTTGGTTATCGGCCTCTTCTGCGGACTGTGCACAGGCTTTGTGCCCATGTACATTGGAGAGATCTCGCCCACTGCCCTGCGGGGTGCCTTTGGCACTCTCAACCAGCTGGGCATCGTTGTCGGAATTCTGGTGGCCCAGGTACTGTAGAAGTTCTCATACCTGATGAGTGTTCGTTTCATGGGTCATTTAAAAAGTTAACACAGTTAAAGCACTGAAGAATGTCTGGCACATGTTCGATTATATATGGAAGTTTTAGATATTGTTATTGTAGCTCATAGATGGTAGGAAGCAGGCTGAGGAAAGGAAAAGAAACACGATTTTTTCCCATGGTAAAAGAATGTATGGTTTTCTGAGCTTTTTGTTTTTTAACAAACTTGTAGCCTACAAGTATGGGGTTTATGGCATTGTCTTGTGTGGTTTCTAGATCTTTGGTCTGGAATTCATCCTTGGGTCTGAAGCGCTGTGGCCAGTGCTACTGGGCTTTACCATCCTTCCTGCTATCCTACAAAGTGCAGCCCTTCCATTTTGCCCTGAAAGTCCCAGATTTTTGCTCATTAACAGAAAAGAAGAGGAGAATGCTAAGCAGAGTGAGTATCCTTTGCGCCTTACTATATGCATTATATGGTTCTGGTTTGTTTTAGGGATGAGGGTACTGGACCTATTTTCTGTTGTACCCTTTCCCTGACCCTCAGAATCCAAGTGAAGAGGGTCCTGATTACTCTTCAGTAAAATTTTCAGGCCCTAAAGAATGAGATGAGAAGGCAGGTTTAGGAATGGATACTATCAGGCCAGGAGCGGTGGCTCACGCCTGTAATCCCAGCACTTTGGGAGGCCGAGCAGGCAGATCACCTGAAGTCGGGAGTTCGAGACCAGCCTGATCAACAGGAGAAACCCCATCTTTACCAAAAATACAAAATTAGCCAGGCATGATGTCGCATGCCTGTAATCCCAGGTACTAGGAAGACTGAGGCAGGAGAATCTCTTGAACCCGGGAGACAGGGGTTGCAGTTAGCTAAGATTCCACCATTGCACTCCAGCCTGGGCAACAAGAGTGAAACTCTGTCTCAAAAAAACAAAAACAAAAAAAAACTGGGCTTGGTGGCGCGTGCCTGTAGTCCCAGCTACTCGGGAGGCTGAGGTGGGAGGATCGATTGAGCCCAGGAGTTCTGGGCTGTAGTGCGATATGCCGATTAGGTGTCCACACTAAATTCGGCATCAATATGGTGACCTCCTGGGAGTGGGGGACCACTACGTTGCCTAAGGAGGGGTGAACCGGCCCAGGTCAGAAATGGAGCAGGTCAAAACTCCCGTGCAGATCAGTAGTGGAATCACACCTGTGAATAGCCACTGCACTCCAGCCTGGGCAACATAGTGAGACCCCGTCTAAAAAGAAAAGGAATGGATGCTATTGATCACCTCATCTCCTGCGGCCCTTTCCTCGCTGCCTTACAGGAAGAATGCATTTGGGACATTACATTGTCTTTATCCTTTCCTCTTTATTCTTTTTACCAGTCCTCCAGCGGTTGTGGGGCACCCAGGATGTATCCCAAGACATCCAGGAGATGAAGGATGAGAGTGCAAGGATGTCACAGGAAAAGCAAGTGACCGTGCTGGAGCTCTTTAGAGTATCCAGCTACCGACAGCCCATCATCATTTCCATCGTGCTCCAGCTCTCCCAGCAGCTCTCTGGAATCAATGCTGTGAGTATGATACCTTAGGGTCAAAGGCGTCTTACAGTATTTCGCTTAAAATGCTGGGCATGGTGGTGATGTGCGTGTAGTCCCAGCTACTCAGGAGGCTGAGATAAGAGGACCTGAGCTGAGGAATTTGAGCCTGCAGTGAGCTATAATTATGCCACTGCACTCCAGCCTGGGAGACAGAGTGAGACTCTGTCTCTGAAATTTAATAAAAGGGGGAAAAAAAAGAGCCTGGAAGGACACTGGCAACTTCAAACTAAACTGACTTTGCCAGTCTATTTGTTTTTATAATTAGAATCGGGAGCTGATAGTTTAAAGAGGGTGGCAAAACGGAAGCTAGCATTTGGCAGGTAGCCCTTGTATTCCATGCAAATATCAGCGTCCTGCATTTGAGTGTGGATTGTGGATTGTGGGAAGAGAGTGATCCTTTGCCTAGTCAATTGTGGATAAAATATGAATATGAAGACCACCTTTGTCCCACCTTTTTAAATACTGATTCATGCCCTGAGAGTTCTCCTTTATTCTTTGATCAATGGGATTAAATCATGTTGTAACAAAGCATTTTGCAAAACACATTTGATGTTCACAATAAGTTAATTCTTGGTCTTTTATCCTACCTAACACACCAGGATATTTGTGTTCGAAGTAGCAGTGCTTCTTGTGAGGGCTTAGAGGCTGTTTATCAGAATGTACGAGGAGCCACCACGGTGGTGGCTCAGAACGCCTGTAGTCCCAGCTACTACTGGGGAGGCTGAGGTAGGAATCTCTTAAGCCCAGTAGTCAAGCCTGGGCAATATAGCTTGACTTTGTTTTGTTTTTGAGACCGAGTTTCACTCTTGTTGACCAGGCTGGAGTGCAATGCCACGATCTCGGCCCACTGCAACCTCCACCTCTGGGGTTCAAGAGATTCTCGTGCCTCAGCCTCCCGAGTAGCTGGGATTACAGGCATGTGCCACCACGTCTGGCTATTAATTTTGTATTTTTAGTAGAGATGGGATTTCTCCATGTTGGTCAGGCTGGTCTTGAACTCCAGACCTCAGGTGATCCACCCACCTCGGCCTCACAGAGTGCTAGGATTACAGGTGTGAGCCATCAAGACTGGCTTGACCTTGTCTTAAAAAAACTAAAAGAAAAAAAAACTTGTGAGGACATACACAGTAGTTTGAAAAAGCGTCATAGGTAATTTTGATGAATCTCATTCTCAAATTTCCTCATTTGGAAATGACAATGTAGGCCACACATATTACTGGAGAAAAATATGCTCTCAGACTTTCCAGAGCAGCAGAGCTGGGACTAGGCAGGTGAGGTAGCTGCGTGCAAATGTAGCCCTAAGAATGAGCACCTCTTTAAAGAATGTACCTGGTATTGGTCTGTGCCTATTTAAAAAAGAAAAAAAGAATGCACCTGAGGCAACTCCCAGCTGTCTCACCACAGTCCTGGCCCACAAAACAGAATCAGGAAAGGATCACCTGTGAGGAATTACAGATGATCAATGAGTGCTCTGATAAAAGATCACCTGTGAGGAATTACAGATGATCCATTAACACTCTGATGGACAGATTCCTGCTGCTTCAGAGTATGGTATATACATTTTTTAGGGGGATAGGGGGTGAAGTCTTGCTCTGTCACCCAGGCTGGAGTGCTGTGGTGCAATCTCAGCTCACCGCAACCTGCATCTCCTGGGTTCATGTAATTCTCCTGCCTCAGCCTCCCAAGTAGCTGGGAAGCTGGGATTACAGGCACCCAACACCAAGCCTGGCTAATTTTTTTTGTATTTTTAGTAGAGACGGGTTTTCACCATGTTGGCCCTGCTGGTCTCAAACTCCTGACCTCGTGTGATCCAACTACCTCAGCCTCCCAAAGTGCTGGCCTTACAGGTGTGACTCACCACGCCCAGCATGTACCTTAATTATTGTTGGACTGAGGTGGTCCCCATTTTAGCCAGTGAGCAGATTTTGCTCCAGATACAATCTCACTCAAAGATGACTGCACCAGAATTATGGGAGATGGGATTCCTAAGTCTGCTGGATTCAAGAATCTCTGTGTAAGAGGCCTGAACATTGTCTGTAAAAAAATAAATCTGATGCATAGCAGGCTTAGAAATCACTTTGCCAACCTACTTTTGCACAAATGATGTTTTCTAATTTCCCTTACTAGCAAATGGGTAACAGGTTGCATTGTGTCATATTTACATAGCAGAGTAAACTATTTTTAGGTGAAATGATGGAGGGGTTAGCTTATCTAGCTTGATGGCACTAGATAGCAAAGTCATTTTACTCTAACAAGATTTTTGGGATTTTTTTTTGAGACAGAGCCTTGCTCTGTCGCCCAGACTGGAGTACATTGGCACTATCGCGGCCCGCTGCAACCTCCACCTCCAGGGTTCAAGCGATTCTCCTGCCTCAGCCTCCTGAGTAGCTGCAGGCCTGTACCACCACACCCAGCTAATTTTTTTGTATTTTTAGTAGAGACGGGGTGTCACTATGTTTGCCAGGCTGGTCTCGAATGTTTGACTTCATGATCTGCCCTCCTGGGCCTACCAAAGTGTTGGGATTACAGGCGTGAGCCACTGTGCCCGGCCTAAAAGAAGTTTTATTGAGATGTGTACATGTATATTAGGTTTTGAATGTGTAGACATTGCGATAAGGAAGACAATTGGCATAACTATTTATTGCTTGTTGAAGCTGCTCAAGTAATTACTTTTGCACTAACATGTTTCCCCACAAGCTTGTTTTTTTTGGTTTTTTGTTGTTGCTGTTTTATTTTTTATTTTTCCCCGCAAGCTTGACGTCATCATATAATATGTTGGTTTTTTTTTTTTTTTTTTTTTTATTTCAAGGAGAGGATAGTTTAATAGGCAAGAAAGAAGTCTAATTAGCTCTAGAGGAGCAATTTTCAGTGATGACTCTACAAATGTCAGTTTCGAAAACAATTATTACGGGCCGGGCGCGGTGGCTCAAGCCTGTAATCCCAGCACTTTGGGAGGCCGAGGCGGGTGGATCACGAGGTCAAGAGATCAAGACCATCCTGGTCAACATGGTGAAACCCCGTCTCTACTAAAAATACAAAACATTAGCTGGGCATGGTGGCGCGTGCCTGTAATCCCAGCTACTCAGGAGGCTGAGTCAGGAGAATTGCCTGAACCCAGGAGGCGGAGTTTGCAGTGAGCCGAGGTCGCGCCATTGCACTCCAGCCTGGGTAACAAGAGCGAAACTCCGTCTCAAAAAAAAAAAAAACAATTATTTTGGAAAATATAAATATAATATGTCCTACATAGTAGGTATTTAAAGATTTGTTTCTTGAAAAAGTAAATCCCAATGTAGAGGTCCATATTCATCAAAAAGACTAATAAATATTGCTATGGAGGCAAATACTCTGGGCGAAATAAACTCAAGTGAACTTGGGTAACCTAGATAATGCTCCCTTGTTAACTGGAGGTCCGAGTCCAATATTTGTTTTTATTATTTTAATTTTAATTTTAATTTTGTTTTATTTTGAGATGGAGTTTCACTCTTGTTGCCCAGGCTGGAGTGCAATGGCATGATCTTGTGCCTCACCCTCCCGAGTAGCTGGGATAACAGGAGCCCACAATGACACCTGGCTAATTGTGTATGTTTAGTAGAGATGCGGTTTCCTCCATGTTGGTCAGGCTGGTCTCAAACTCCTGACCTCAGGTGATCCGCCCACCTAGGCTTCCCAAAGTGCTGGAATTATAGGCATGGGCCACCACGCCCGGCCAAATATTTTAATATCTCTTAACTATGTAAGTTGCAGCAACCTTACATTTTAGCGAAGTGCCTAGCAAATAACAAACAGTTTATTTAACATATTATAAAGTAGCTGGTATTATTTCATAAAACACTTTAAAAGGGCCTAGGCCTGGGAAATACAGCCCAACCTCTGCTTTTTCAATGAGCAGGATAGGTTATTCAATTAGTTCACTATCAAATTGAGACATCAATGTGCCTATCAATGTTTTGAAGGTTTGGGGAAGAGGCAATTAAAACAGCATTTAGCTGGGCTTGATGGCCCATGCCTATAATCCCAGCAACTTGAGAGGCGGAGAGGCAGGAGGATCACTTAAGACCAAGATTTTTAGACCAGCCTGGGCAATACAGTGAGTTGCTGTCTCAACTTATAAAGAAACCATGGCTGGGCTCGGTGGCTCATGCCTGTAATCCAATAATCCCAGCACTTTGGGAGGCTGAGGTGGGTGGATTAAGAAGTCAGGAGTTGCCAGGCGCGGTGGCTCAAGCCTGTAATCCCAGCACTTTGGGAGGCCGAGGCGGGTGGATCACGAGGTCAAGAGATCGAGACCATCCTGGTCAACATGGTGAAACCCCGTCTCTACTAAAAATACAAAAAATTAGCTGGGCATGGTGGTGCGTGCCTGTAATCCCAGCTACTCAGGAGGCTGGGGCAGGAGAATTGCCTGAACCTGGGAGGCGGAGGTTGCCATACTGGGTAATAAGAGCGAAACTCCGTCTCAAAAAAAAAAAAAAAAAAAAAAAAAGTCAGGAGTTTAAGACCAGCCTGGCCAAGATGTCTCTACTAAAAATACAAAAATTAACTGGATGCAGCGGCAGGCACCTGTAATCCTAGCTACTCGGGAGGCTGAGGCAGGAGAATCGCTTGAACCCAGGGTGGGCTTTGCAGTGAGCAGAGATTGTGCCATTGTACTCCGGCCTGGGCAACAGAGTGAGACTTCAGTATAAACAAAAAAAAGAAAGAAACCACTTTGTAGGAATGACACCTTCAAATAAATTAGTGAAGTGGACATAAGCAAGAGTAAATGGAACAGCGGAAATAAGCATAGTTAGAAGAAACAATGGAAATGAATAGCTAAAACTGAGACCCTTTAAAAGGAAAAAGGAGGGCCAGGTGTGGTAGCTCAGGCCTGTAATCCCAGCACTTTTGGAGGCTGAGGCAAGCGGATTACTTGAGGTCAGGAGTTCGAGACCAGCCTAGCCAACATGGGGAAAGCCCAGCTCTACTTAAATGACAAAAATAAGCTGAGCATGGTTGTGGGCTGTTGTAGTCCCAGCTACTCAGGAGGCTGAAGCAGGAGAATCACTTGACCTGGGAGGTGGAGGTTGCAGTGAGCCTAGATAGTGCCACTGCACGCCAGCCTGGGTGACAGATCGAGACTCCATCTGAAAAAAAAAAGAGAGAAAGGAGATAACATACAGAAGATAATTCATTTGCTGAAGTGGTACTAGGATTGACTGAACAAAAACCCTAACAAAAGGACTTCCTGCCTCCAGGGACTTTTAAAGTTTATTTTTGAGGGTTCTGTTTAACTGGTATACAGAATTGTATTAAAGTTGCATGTTTTGTTTTCTGCTAGGTGTTCTATTACTCAACAGGAATCTTCAAGGATGCAGGTGTTCAAGAACCCATCTATGCCACCATCGGTGCGGGCGTGGTTAATACTATCTTCACTGTAGTTTCTGTAAGTTGGATGGTTTGATAATTTTGGGGGGAGAAAAGAATCCTTGCTATAGATGTTCAAAGATGGATTGCATGGTTCTACCATCATTTAGTTAGACCTTTTTGTTGTTTAATTTTCTTTTGGAAAAAAGAGATCTATTCAATGCTGGGTGTAGTCTTCACTCTTCAAGCAAATATGGGTTGAATGGGAAAGGAGGAAATATACAAGGGACTATCTAGTATGCTTTCAACTTGAAATTGGAGGAGAGGTGTTTGAAAAAACTCTCAAACTGTGTTTTTCCTCTGTTTTTACACTGAAACAACAATAATCACAGAAGATTTCCGTGACCCCCCAAAATATGTGAGGATTTTTCCCCATCAAGTAAGCAATCAGTTATGTGGTGGACACCATCTAGGTGTCCTCTGATTTAATTCTGACACTGTCTCCCTGGAGACAGCATCACATCTCACAGGTTGATGGCCCAGTTCCCAGGACGGCCCCACTCTAATGCCAATCACAGGCTCCAGGCTGTCTGACCTGTGCTTCTGACCCACGAGCTAGAGATCAGGATTCCCACAACGCCCTCTTTGGGTTTGACTAATTTGCTACAGTGGGTCACAGAACTCAGGGAAATTGTTTCCTAGTTTGTTTTAAAGGATACTTTAAAGGACAGAAATAAACAACCAGATGAAGAGATTCATAGGGGGAGGTCTGGAGGGGTCCTGAGCATGGGAGTTTCTGTCTCGTGGAGTGGGTGTACTCGTAGCACGTAGATGAGTTGGTGACCTTCCTGTCAGCTTCCAGGGCTTCAGATATCTGGAAGCTCCCCACACCCTGCCTTTTGGGCCTTTTATGCAGACTTCATTGGTTCTCCATGATTGAAGCATGGACAAAGGTTCTGAAATGTGATTGGACAAAAAGGGTATGATCTGAACCCAGCAAGGCCTGTCTGTTTAGATTATTTGTTGGCCTCTGTGTAGCATTTCTTCCTCTAGGGTGTGGGGCAAGAGCCTCTCTGAAATGAGGGTTTTATGACCCACAGTCAGCCTAGAGTCCCACCAAGTGGGAGAGCAGGAGAAAGTCAGAGAAGAATTCTATTTTCTGAGGCCTGCTCCTGAGGCCTAATGCATCCCAACATTATAACAAAAGACTGCAGCAAGGGCTGTGGGGATTTTGAGGCAGGACCTGTGGATGGAAAGCAATATGTGTCTATATAAAATCGAAAATCACAGGAGGTGTATGTGTTAGTAAGTGTTAGTAAGTGTTCTGTGTAAGTAAGGCAGATTTCAAGTAGCTCAGACACTCTTCATGGAAAGGAAAACTGAAGTTTCATGTCATATTCTTTCTCTTCTAGCTATTTCTGGTGGAAAGGGCAGGAAGAAGGACTCTGCATATGATAGGCCTTGGAGGGATGGCTTTTTGTTCCCTGCTCATGACTGTTTCTTTGCTACTAAAGGTGAGTGCCTTTTGAGTGAAGAAAAGCAAGGGAGGGGGAGGAGACGTTACAGTTGACTTCCGTGACACAGCACGTGGGTTGTTAAGGTTGAAGCTTGTCAATAAAGTCAGGAGAGAAGCAAGATGCCCAGAGTTTTTAAGAAAGGTGGGTCATTGGAGAACTGGAGGTTAACCATTAGAATCCTTACATTTATAGAACATTATTATAGCTTACAAATTACCTAATTTAATTCTTTTTTTTTTTTTTTTTTTTTTTTGAGACGGAGTTTCACGCATGTTACCCAGGCTGGAGTGCAATGGCGCGATCTCGGCTCACCGCAACCTCCGCCTCCTGGGTTCAGGCAATTCTCCTGCCTCAGCTTCCTGAGTAGCTGGGATTACAGGCACGCACCACCATGCCCAGCTAATTTTTTTTTGTATTTTTAATAGAGACGGGGTTTCACCTTGTTGACCAGGATGGTCTCGATCTCTTGACCTCATGATCCACCCGCCTCGGCCTCCCAAAGTGCTGGGATTACAGGCTTGAGCCACCGCGCCCGGCTTTAATTCTTAAAATAATATCAAGATGGCTGGGTGTGTTGGCTCATGCCTGTAATCCTAGCACTTTGAGAGTCCAAGGCACGCGGATCAGAGGTCAGGAGTTCAAGACCAGCCTGACCAACATGGTGAAACCCCGTCTCTACTAAAGACACACAAAAAAAATTTAGCTGGGCATGGTGGCACACACCTATAATGCCAGCTACTTGGGAGGCTGAGGCAGGAGAATTACTGGAACCCAGAAGGCGGAGTTGCAGTGAGCCAAGATCCCACCATAACCCTCCAGCCTGGGCAGCAGAGCAAAACTCCATCTCAAAAGCATAGTAATAATAATAATATCAAGGTAATCACACTTTACTGATAATGACATGGTGTCTGCACAAAGTGGCATATATGAGATCACATAGATGGAATTCAAAAATCCAAGTCGGGCCGGGCGCAATGGTTCATATATCTATCATCGCAAAGTTTGGGAGGCCAAGGTGAGAGGATTACTTGAGCCCAGAAGTTCAACACCAGCCTGGGAAACATGGCAAGAAACGGTCTCTACAAAACAACCACCACAAAATGTTTTGTTTTTGTCGTTGCTATTGTTTTTTGAGATAAGGCCATGCTGTGTCACCCAGGCTGGAGTGCAGTGACGGGATCTCAGCTCCCTGCAACCTTCTCCTCTTGGGCTTAAGTGATTCTCCTGCCTCAGTCTCCAGGGTAGCTGGGAATTATAGGCGCACGCCACCACACCCAGCTAATTTTCGTATTTTTTAGTAGAGACAGGGTTTCACATGTTGGCCAGGCTGGTCTCCAACTTCTGACCTCAAATAATACACTTGCCTCGCCCTTCCCCAAAGTCCTGGGATTACAGGTGTGAGCCGCAGAGCCCAGCCAAAAGACAGTTTTTTTTTTTTTTTTTTAAGACGGGGTTTCACCATGTTGGTCAGGATGGTCTTGAACTTCCGACCTCAGGTGATCCTCCTGCCTTGGCCTCCAAAGTGCTTAGATTACAGGCGTGAGCCACCACGCCCTGCCTACAATTTGTTTTTTAATTAGGGTGTGGTGGCACATGCCTCTAGTCCCAGCTATTTGAGAGGCTGAGGTGGGAGGATCACTTAAGCCCAGGAGATCGATGATGCAGTGAGCTGTTACAGCGTCATTGCACTCCAGCCTGGGCAACAGAGCGAGACCCTGTCTCTAAAAATAAAAATAAATTCAAGCCTTTTGACTTGACAGCCACTTTCTGTACTATAGGCCAGGACCGTAGGAGGTTGCCGTTAGTTGCATCTGGGAACCTAGACCCTAGGTCATGCTGTCTTTACATTTAATTTTCTCTGTTCCTTCCTCTTACAGGATGACCATAATGGCATGAGCTTTGTCTGTATTGGGGCTATCTTGGTCTTTGTGGCCTTCTTTGAAATTGGACCAGGCCCCATTCCCTGGTTTATTGTGGCCGAACTCTTCAGCCAGGGCCCCCGCCCAGCTGCGATGGCAGTGGCCGGCTGCTCCAACTGGACCTCCAACTTCCTAGTCGGATTGCTCTTCCCCTCTGCTGAGTTATAAGGTAAGATAACTCACCTTATCTTAAAACCAGCCTTTGCCGCATGCGCAGTGGTTCACGCCTGTAATCCCAACAATTTGGGAGGCCGAGGCAGGTGGATCACTTGAGGTCAGGATTCGACACTAGCCTGACCATTATGGTGAAACTGCATCTCTACTAAAAATGCAAATATTAACCAGGTGTGGTGGCACATGCCTGTAGTCCTAGCTACTCAGGAGGCTAAGGCAGGAGAATCACTTTAACCCAGGAGGTGGCGTTCATGGTGAGCCAAGATCACGCCACAGCATTCCAGCCTGGGAGACAGAGTAAGACTCCATTTCAGAATCCAAACAAACAAACAAATAAAAATTTTACTAAGAGAGATGGGGTCTTGCTATGTTGCCCAGGCTGGTCTCAAACTCCTGGGTTCACGTGATCCTCCCACCGCAGCCTCCCACAGTACTGGGATTACAGGCATGCACCACTGCACTCAGCCTAAGGATGTATCTTTTGTCCATAAAATTATGAAGAAGAAAAAAGACGTGGCTGGGCGCAGTGGCTCACACCTGTAATCCCAGCACTTTGGGAGGCTGAGGTGGGCAGATCACCAGAGGTTAGGAGTTCAAGACAAGCTTGACCAATATGGTGAAACCTCGTCTCTACTAAAAATACAAAAATTAGCCAAGGGTGGGGGCGTCTGCCTGTAGTCCCAGCTGCTTGGGAGGCTGAGACAGGAGAATCGCTTAAACCCGGGAGCCAGAGTTTGCAGCGAGCTGATGTTGCATCACTGCACTCTAGCCTGGGCAACACAGCAAGATTGTCTCAAAAAAAAAGAAAAGAAAAAAGAGGCTGGGTAAGGTGGCTCACACCTGTAATCCCAGCACTTTGGGAGGCCGAGGTGGGCAGATCACGAGGTCAGGAATTCTGGAACAGCCTGGCCAACGTGGTGAAACCCTACCTCTACTAAAAATACAAAAATTAGCTGAGTGTGGTGGCATGCACCTGTAATCCCAGTTACTTGGGAAGCTGAGGCAGGAGAATCACTTGAACCCAGGTGGCGGAGGTTGCAGTGAGCTGAGACTCTGCCATTGCACTCCAGCCTGGGTGACAGAGCAATACTCTGTATCAAATGAAGAAGAAGTTTTGCTCATAAGCGATAAAAAGAAAAAGTAAAAAGAAATTTGTGCTAGTTTTGCTGTCACACCACAAACTGCCAGGATTACAGCCACAGTGCCTGCCAAGTGCTTAGTTAAGATGGAAAAAGCATAAGATGTATAGGTGGAAAACATCAGAAACATGTTCTGGTTCACAGCAGTGGGGTTCATAGGTGTCTGCAGTTTCAGGCGTCACCGGGGGTCTTGGGACTTATCCCCCATGAATAAGGGAGGTTTGGTTCAGGGGGATATATCATTCCAAGACAGCTAGTGGATGTCTGATATCTTGGATTGTACCCAAACCTATACCTGTATATACATCACTGTTTTTTCCTATTCATACATACCTATGATAATGTTTTATTTTTGAGACAGAGTCTCACTATGTTCCTCAGGCTGGTGTGCAGTGGTGCAATCTTGGCTCACTACAACCTCTGCCTCCCGAGTTCAAGCAATTCTCCTGCCTCAGCCTCCTCAGTAGCTGGGACTGCAGGCTTGTGTCACCACTCCTAGCTAATTTTTTGTATTTGGTAGAGATGGGGTTTCATCCTATTAGCCGGGATGATCTCGATCTCCCAACCTCGTGATCTGCCCACCTCAGCCTCCCATGTTGGGATTACAGGCATGAGCCACTGTGCCCGGCTGATAACGTTTAATTTATAAGTTACTCACAACCAAAGTTTTTTGTTTTTTTTTTTTTTTTAGAGTCTTGATCTGTTGCCCAGGCAGTAATGCGATCTCTGCTTACTGCAACCTCCGCCTCCCAGGTTTGAGCGATTCGTCTGCCGCAGCCTTTTGAATAGGTGGGATTACAGGCGTGTGTCACCACACTTGGCTTATTTTTGTATTTTTAGTAGAGACGGGGTTTGGCCATGTTGACCAGGCTGGTCTCAAACTTCTGACCTCAGGTGATCTGCCTGCTTCAGCCTCCCAAAGTGCCGGGATTACAACTAGTCTCTCTCTCTTGCCCTCTTTCTGTCTCTCTCTCTCTCTCTCTCTCTGACCGTTCCCTTTCCCTCTTCTCCCTCTCCTTTGCCCTTTTTCTCTCTCTATCAAAATATCTTTTTTTTTTTTTTTTTTTTTTTTTTGAGACGGAGTTTTCGCTCTTGTTACCCAGGATGGAGTGCAATGGCGCGATCTCGGCTCACCGCAACCTCCGCCTCCTGGGTTCAGGCAATTCTCCTGCCTCAGCCTCCTGAGTAGCTGGGATTACAGGCACACGCCACCATGCCCAGCTAATTTTTTGTATTTTTAGTAGAGACGGGGTTTCACCATGTTGACCAGGATGGTCTCGATCTCTTGACCTCGTGATCCACCCGCCTCAGCCTCCCACAGTGCTGGGATTACAGGCTTGAGCCACCGCGCCCGGCCCAAAATATCTTATTGTACTCTATTCGCCCTTCTTGTGATCTGTCAATCTACTGACCAAGATAGCTCCACGGTGACTAACAGGTGGGTAGCATATATGGCATATACGGCATGGACAAAGGGATGATTCATGTCCCGTGCAGGTCGGCATGAGATTTCATCATACTACTCAGAATGGCAGGCAGTTTAAAACTTATGAATTATTTATTTCTGGAATTCTCCATTTAATCTTTTTGGACTGTTGGTAACTAAAACTGTGGACTGTAAAACTGTGGATATTGACCAGGCGCGGTCGCTCAACGCTTGTAATCCCAGCGCTTTGGGTGACCGAAGCGAGCAGATCACAATGTCAGGAGTTTGAGACCAACCTGGCCAACATCGTGAAACCCTGTCTCTACTAAAAATAAAAAAAATTGGCCATGCATAGTGGCAGGTACCCGTATATAATCCCAGCTACTCAGGAGGCTGAGGCAAGAGAATCATTTGAACCCAGGAGTCGGAGGTTGCAGTTAGCCGAGACCACACGGCTGCACTCCAGCCTGGGCAACAGAGGAAGACTCTGTCTCAAAAACAAACCAACGAAAAACTGGATAACTGGGGACTACTGTAATTACTGATGCCATGAAAGATTACACATTGATCAGGCGTGGCAGCTCTTGCCTGTAATCCCAGCACTTTGGGAGGCCAAGGCAGGTGGATTGCCTGAGTTCAAGACCAGCCTGGCCAGCATGGTCAAACCTCATCTCTAGTAAAAATACAAAAATTAGCCGGGCGTGGTGGCAGGTGCCTGTAATCCTAGCTACTCGGGAAGCTGAAGCAGAAGAATTTCTTGAACCCAGGAGGCGGAGGTTGCAGTGGGCCAGCATCAAGGGCTGTAAACCAGATTTTCCCTACTCATTTTCATTTTCAACAACACAGAGGGGAAAAAAAAGCTGACAAAAAAGATTGAAATGAGAGGGCAAAACTGGGAACTTTGTGTGTATGTGTTTATATTTTATTTTATTTGAGACAGAGTTTCCCTCTTGTTGCCCAGGCTGGAGTGCGATGGTACAGTCTTGGCTCACTGCATCTTCTGCGTCCCAGCTTCAAGCAATTCTCCTACCTCAGCCTCCCAAGTAGCTGGGATTACAGGCATGCACCACCATGCCCAGCTAATTTTGTATTTTTGGTAGAGATGGGATTTCTCCACGTTGGTCAGGCTGGTCTCGAACTCCCAGTCTCAGGTGATCCTCCTGCCTTGGCCCTCCAAAGTGCTGGGATTACAGGTGTGAGCCACCACGCCTGGCCTATTTATTTATTTTTGAGCCAGACTCTCGCTCTGTTGCCCACGGTGGAATGCTGTAGCTCAGTCTTGGCTCACTGCAACTTCTGCCTCCTGGGATCAAGTGTTTCTCTTGCCTCAGCCTCCTGAGTAGCTGAGATTACAGGCACCACCACTCCCAGCAAAATTTTTTTTTTGTATTTTTAGTAAAGATGGGGTTTTGCCATGTTGGCCAGGACGGTCTGGAACTCCTGGCCTCAAGTGATCCACCCATCTCAGCCTCCGAAAGTGCTGGGATTGCAGGCATGAGCCACCATGCTCAGCTCAGAAACACAGATTTTAAAAATAATACTCAAAAGTCCAAAAATACTCAGTAGACATTTGGAAACATATAACTCTAATGAAAAGGAATGACAAAAAGAAAAATACAGAGAAATATAGTAAGTTAGCAATGGAATCATAAGTCAATCTCTGAAAAAAAACCTTTCTGTGTTTATTAAATATGGAAGGGTTATAGCTTGGGGCCTATTGGAAACATGAATGTGAAGGAAATTGAGCTTGTCAGTGACCAGATTCTTACGTCAACCTTCCTTCTTTCTGCCCTTTCACTAGTACTATTTAGGACCCTACGTTTTTATTGTCTTCACCGGCTTCCTCGTTACCTTCCTGATCTTTACCTTCTTCAAAGTCCCTGAGACCCGTGGCAGGACTTTTGAGGATATCACGCGGGCCTTTGAAGGGCAGGCACATGGTGCAGATCGATCCGGGAAGGAGGGCATCGTGGAGATGAACAGCATCGAGTCTGCTAAGGAGACCACCACCAGTGTCTAAGTCACGGCTCCTTCCACCCCCCTCCCGGCATGGGAACGCCACCTCTCCCTGAACGTCAGAGAGACTTCATCAGGATGAACCCAGGACGGCTTCTGAATGCTGCTATGTGATTCCTTTCTTATCCCATGTACTCCATGAGCACCCCAAGGCTGGGGTTTGTTGGATTTTTAATGGCTTTGAAAATATTTTGTTTCCTGGACATTCTCTTCTGCTTAGGAGAGACCAAGTGAACCTACCTTCATTTCAGGAGGGATTGGCCGCTTGGCATGTGACAACTTTGCCAGCTTTTCCTCCCTTGGGTTCTAATATTGCCCCACTAGGGCATATAGGAGAGGAAAAGTAAGGTGCAGTTCCCCCAGACTCAGACTCATCAGGAAGCAGATGAGTGTGGAAGGCAGAGGGACTTTATGTAAGAGCACCTTCTTCGCTTCCACACAGCTCTACACGGCAGGTCAGCTTGAGTTTTATTTATTTTATGCTCTGGTTTA